TGGTTTAACTCTTTTTATATAGCCATAATCCAATGATCATTTCCTAATACTTCATCTATGTTCTTGGGTTCAATATGAGAGAAAAATGCAACATAATTATATATATTATATGAGAATTTGATTTTTACCCTTTGTAATGGATCACTAATTATCTCATTGTCTTTGACATTCCTTATTTCTCTATGAAGATTTGGTTCATGCTCAACTTGTTGTAGTTTTTTTAGAAACTTTTCATCTTTTTTTCCATTGTTCCTTTCATTATCATTTGATGCATTATTGATATTTCCTTTAAGTATTCCTATATCATCATTATCATCATCATCAAGAGAACTTTTTTATTGGAAGGGGATTAGACTCATAAAAAATAATATGATTGGACTCTATATGTTTTAGATTCAAAGAATATCCTAGAAAAATGCCTTTAAGTCCTTAAATTAAGTTTTGTCTCCAGTCATTTGCTTTGAGTATCCACTATCAAGGTATCATTGATCATTCCTATTTGTATTTGCCTTGTAGCAATGCTTATCCTCATACAAAACTTATTAAAATTTTTGTTTTAGGTACCCAAATTTTCTTAGGTCCTTGAGTGTTAGTACTCATAATTCTTGTGCCTTTTGAAATACGCTTCATCTTAATACTCTCATCTTAAGATATGCTAATTTTTTTTTTGGAATCCACACCCTCATAACCTTTATGAGTGACTTTTTTCAAAGAACAAAATTGTGTAGAATGACCTAATTGATGACATATGCACATGTACTAGATGGATAATTTGGTTTAATAAGAAAATTCATCAAATAAGTTTCTTTATTGCCACCATTATAACCTAATCTATCTTTATCAAAGAAAGTTCTTTGTGTTTCAAACATCTCATTAAGTTTTTGGTGTCTCATATAACATCTAAAAATATGAATTATGCAAGTTTTTATTTTTCTTAATCAAATTATCAATATTCAATTTTAAAGCCTTAATTTCTTTTTCTAATTCATGCTTGGCCTTAGTCAATAGCTTATTCTTTACTTTAAACTTGGAAATTCTTTTCCTATATACAATGTTTATGTTTTCAAATTTATAGCTAATTCATCAAAAGCCTCTTGCAACTTATCAAAGGTACAAGAATCTAAATCAATAGGGTTAGAATTTACTTTAGGCTCATCAAGACCATGAAACAAAGATTGGCTACTTCTTTCTCATTTAATTTATTATCAAATGAGTCACTGTCACTCTTAGCAATTTCATAACAACCAATAAAATATTGAAACATTAAAAAATATAAGTTTTTAAAACATACCATTCTAGCGAGCATCTTATCTGAAAAGATATTTGTCCGTGCTCACGACAATCGAAGCATAGGTTCGATAACTTTTCAAAGCTCACAATTATTATAATATAATTAATTAATAATAATATAAAATTACATGAAATTTATTAAAATTTTATGTAGAATTCACATATATAAATGATAAATTTTTTCATAATTTTACTGTGATTGAATAATTATAAAATTATAATAAAAAAATTATAAGCGATATACTTCACTTTTCGGAAGAGTCCATTGCGAAATACTAATGAGAAAATTTGATGCAATACCGCCAACGGATGAATGGGATGACATTTTCAACAAAAATCTTGAAGATTGCTTGCTTTTGAACGAGATTTGAGTGAAAAATGAGTAATTTAAGAGAGAAACTAAAATAGAAAAAAAAAAATAAAGGCTGATACATTTTAATTTTTTTTTTAAGAATTTATCTTTTCGTAAATTGATTCCTTTATTTGGTATCCGATATTGTTTATGAACATCCAAAATTTTGATATTCCCAAAAATTTATAGTAGGAGAAAATAGGAGAATCTAAAACCCTTGAAATTTTTTAATGTTCTGCCCATAATCCAAATTATATCCCTCTTTAGCCCTAAATAAAAGGTCTTACAGTTTAATTTACCCTTTCATACTAAAGTAATTGCATAATAAACAGATCGAATTTGACAGCAAAGAGGCATTCCAAGCACTATTATTTGGCACCTGGTAATTAATGTTTAATTAAATTTTATTTGTGAGTCTATAATTAAATTGTTCTTTTCAGTTAATTAAAAATTTAATTTCAAAATCTAAATTAAAAAAGATACTGCATTTTTAAGATGAAAAATGAAGTTTATATTGAAAATATAGAATTTTGAAAAGATGTTATGCTTTTGAATATCTATAGTTTCAACAGGGATAATGTTTTCTAAATGAAAAACGTCTTTGTTGAAAATATACTATGAAAAAAATTTTATTTTCCAAAATTCTATAGTTTCAACAAAAAAACGATTTTAAGATTAAAAACTTTGCTTTGTTGAATTTTAAAAAAATTATTTTTCAGAACAATGAAGACAACGTTTTAAAATTAAAAATGTGTTATTTGTTGAAAATATATTATAAATTATTTTTTTCAGAATTTTAAGTTTCAATAAAGACAAAGTTTTATTATTAAAAATGTAATTTTTGTTGAATATATATGATGGAAAAAATTATTTTTTAGAATTTTATAGTTTCAACAAAGACAGCAAGATTAAAAACATGGTATTAGTTGAAACTATACTATGAAAAAAAATTATTTTTTAGAATTCTAAGTTTCAACCAAAAACAATGTTCTTAAAATTAAAAATGTGGTTTTTATTGAAAATATACTATGAAAAATTCATTGTTCAGAATTATATAATTTCAATAAAAACAATATTTTTAAAATTAAAAATGTAGTATTTATTGAAACTATATTATAAAAAAAAAAAGTTATTTTTGAAAATGTACTCGGAGGACTTCAATTTAATCAACATAAATTATGTTTTTAAGATAATAAAATGTAGTTTATTATGAAAATATATTATGAAAATTATTATAATATATTTTCATAATTTACATGTTAAATATTTTATATATGAAATAAAACATAAAAAGCTTTTATTTAATATTATTATATATAAAATTTGCTTTTACATAATGACAATTAATGTTAGGACAGTAATTAAGTTTCATGTAATTTAACAAAAAATATATATGCTAATATTCTGAAAATATTTATTTATTATTTGATGTATATAAATAAATTTAGTTATTTCAAATTTTTATTAATTTTATAAAAATATTAGATAAATCATTTACATCCTAAATAAATAAATAAATAAATAATTTAACATATTAAATAAGTAATTTAAATATATATAATTATATGTTACGTGTTATTTTTATATTTTTATGACTGACATGTGTTATTCACGTGTAATTAAAAAAAATATAATAAAAGATGTTATTAGATAAATTTATATTTTTCTATACCAACATATAAATCTTATATTCTCATAAAATCCACAAAATGCAAGAATCATTCATTTTTCAAATTCTATAAAATTTTCCAAAATTACTCTTCTTTTAAAAAATGTTAAAATATGTAAACTGAATAACCCTGTATGTTTGTAAATTTTAGGAACTTTGGCCTTTAAAAGCTCTCATTTAAGTCACGCGACTATCGATAGGCAATCCACTCCTGGAACTCTCTCGACATTGACCACAATGATCGGCGGTAATCATTGCCAATTGGTCAACATCCCGTGTCGCAAAAATTTTTTTTAAAGTTTTTAACTTTTAATCTTTACCTTAATTTTGAAAAATTAATTTTGGCAACCCCAAAATTAACTGTCCTAATCTATCTCGCATGGCAATCCCAAGATCGTCTCTATTCTTTTTTGGTTAACTTGGGATTCACATATTGACATTCTCATGGCAAACATTCTTTTCTTGGCAGCCCAAAGAAGTACTTTATTCTTTGTTTTGGCAACCAAACTTATCAATTTTCTTCTCGGCAAACCCGAGAAGGCCAGATTATCACTTTCATTGCCTTAATTTCGAACTACATTGGGTATGATCTCTTCAGAGTACAAAGAGACTTACACATAGATGCAACTTTAATTTTAAATACTAAAGCCTGTTGGTCTAAGTAGTAAGAAGGTCAATTTTTTTTTTTAAAGTCTCAATTTTAAGTCTTATAAATAAAAAAAATAAACACCGAAAAAGTTTGCTTCTCTTATAGAATTTGATCTGATTTGATTATGAAATAATTAAAGTCCAAAGTGATGATCGAATATTGAGGGTTTCAGACAAAAAAAAAAAAACTTCAATTTTAAATCCTCCTTAATATTGAGGCACAAAATTTTATTTTATTGGATTTTGATATTCGCTTCTTTTAAGCTTTATCAAATGGGTTAGGTTGTAAACACCAAATTTTGAATTTAAATTAATCAATAAAATAATTAATTTTTTAAAATAAAGTGAAATAAAATTAGAGAGATTCAATAAACTTATCAATTTATTTTTTTCAGACATACCCGAAGACAGATTATCACCTCTGTTACCTTGATTTTAAACTACGTTTGGTATGCTCTTTTCAGAGTACATAAGCACCTAAATGTAGGTGCTGTATTATTGGTGTATACCTTAATATCAATCGGATTAATTATAAGACAGGATACATATCATATTAAACCTTATTATTGTTATTATTAACTAAGATATTATTTATTTACAAGTATGTTTGTAGCCCCAATACGTGAGATGATGTTACTTTCACAAATTGAAGATAAATCTCAACCACTAGAAGAAGACTTGTTATGACTTATTTCCCTCTCATATTGAACTTGAATGGGAGCCGCGCCAATATCTATCCCCGAACCCATGTAATTCAAAATTTTACAAGTGGCCTTTCCTAAAAAAATACACGTATCATTTCATCAAACTATTAAGAATCTAAATATATGAGTTATAAATATGACATGATAATTTAATATAAAAAAGGTATAAAATCGATATAATTTAACATTTTAGTAAAAATTATATATGATTTTAATAAAAATAAAAAAATGTTTCTTATTTAATGTGTTAATACAAATTTAACACAATAATTTTCATGTTTTACATGTTTTTAATATTAAATAAATACAAAACGAATACATAAATTATTAAATCTGCTCAAATTTCAAGTTTTAATTCAATATTTATGGACTAATAATAAAACACCACTCATATTTTTCAAATTGGGATTGCTTATTTATTCATATAGATTGAACCAATCTTGTAAAATGTAGTAAATGTCTACCTTGGTGTCTCACAAGAAAGAAAAAATGGTTCTTCTTTAGTTATTGCTGTAACCTTCCTCATATGACTATATTTTCTATTAGTACAACGTAACTAGTAAACACGCATTACCTAAGTATCCCAAAGAGAATAACTTTGCATATCTTCCCGCTCATTCTCCTCATGTTCATTGCAAAACGTCATTGTCAGTGACTCATCCATCATCAATGCCTCCGACATTTGCATCCACATCTTGGGAGAGTCCAGAGGGGACTCATTGATGGCCTGAATTTGGCTCTGAGACAGCCTGACCGTGACAGGACCGGCGATGGTGCTGGAGCTGCCAGCCTCAGACCCTGCGGCATTAGTCCTGACCCGCAAGGCTGCCTCGTGAGCTGCCATTCGGATATCATCAGCACTGGAACTGGCTGGCTTGGGAATACAATGGACCAGCTCAGGGATGTTAAGACGTGCCTCCCGACCCCTGAAATGTAATGCTGCTACATCATAAGCTGCGGCTGCCATTTCAGCTGTCTCAAAGCTCCCTAACCAGATTCTGGTCTTTTTTCCAGGCTCACGAATTTCTGACACCCATTTGCCCCATTTTCTCTTGCGAACTCCTCTATAGCTTGAAGATAGGCCGCCCCGCGTACTGCTGCTGCTCTTTCCTTCCATATATGTTTCGGTTACTTGTTTCGTTGGGGAAAATTGATTGTTTCATGGCTGAGATAATGTAATCCAGTTAAGGGTATTTATGCAAGTGCTGGGATTTACTGTTACAACACTGAAAATCCTGGAGGAAGTAAGCTTCCAAGCAGCTGCACAAGTGAAAAGGATTTTAAAAAAGTCAATGTTAATAATCCAAAAACGGAATTTAAGAAATTCTTTCGGGATCAGAACCAATCAAAGGTTGACAAGCTTGTGAAATTCTAATGCGCAGATTTGGTTAAAAAACATCCTAGGAGAAAACCATAGTTTTCTGTAGAAGACGCGGTTTGATCGAGGTGGCAGGCAGACAGGGGCTTTGGACCCACTGATCCATTGAAGATAAAGTGAATTTTGGTTGAATGAGTCCTTGTGCTTTGATCAGTCTAGACACATGTCCTATAGATTCGTATCTAGCTACGCTTCAATAGTTTATTGGTTTTCTTCTTCTGCCATGGGTCCCGGTAACTGCGACGTCTTGTCTTATTTCACCCGAGATTGTTTAAGAGAATAAATTTGATTAAGTATTTAAGTGAATAAATTTTGTTAGATTTGGTATTTATATTATAGAAAATATTGATAATTTATATATTTGTATTATATTTTATATAAAAATATATATTATAATTTGTGTTGATATGAAATATAATTTTTTTGTTTTGTTTTGTTAGATTTATAAATAATTTTTGTTGAAATTTTAAATATATCATATTTATGTTTTTTTTTTCATATAGATTTTGTGTCATATTATCATGTTATATATTAAATTACATATTATAATTTATATTGACATAAAAATTTAAATATATTTTTTTATTTTGTTAAATTTATATATTATTTTTGTTAAAATTTTAAATGTCACATTTATATTTTTTTTGTAAAAATTTTGTATAGTATCATCGCATTGTATTTTTAATTGTCAATTTAGATTTTATATACTATTAGTTAAGGAGAAAATTTAAAAAGAAAACCAAACTTTTGTGTATTTATTTTTAAAACTTGTAAAAATTTATATTTACTTATTAAAAAAGTAGCATGATATGTTTTATTGATAATATATAAATTTTATACATTAATAATTTATAAAATATAAACTTATTTTTTATGAAACTACAAGTTACAATTATAGTAAAGTATTACGTTGCTAAATAATCAAACAAACTAACTAAAAAATAACAAAACAAATTGAACAAAAATTAAAACAAACCTAACTTAAGCTCTCAAAACTTCAAGGCTTTCTTTTTGCCCCTAGACGTCACAATTTAACTTGTACCTATCGGGTTATCCATTCCTCAATCCGAATGGGTACTGGTATGGTGACCCAATTATTATAATCGGGAAATAGTGTTTAAGAAAGATTTGGTTCAGGTACAAGAACAGATAAGATGATACCGCTTCATGGGTCATCCGATACCCAATATATATAAAATATATTATTTTTATTTCATTTTTAATCTTTTATAATTAAAATAACAAATCTATTACAAAATTATAAATTACAAAAGATATTTTACAAACCATTTTTTTTATATACTTTTAACGAACAATTTAATTTGCAACATATATAATAACTATATACAAAAGTAAACCCCATGAAAATGATTATTATGCCCCTTTAATTGTTTGATAATTACTTAACATGTGTCAAAATTTACTTTAATGCTCCTTCTTTCATAATCAACCAAAATTATTATAATATTCTTTTTATCATAATTATTAAAATGTTATTTTTATCATAATTACGAAAATGAACCATTATAATTATTCAAAGTTACTGTAGTGCCCTTTTAACCATAATTGTGAAAATGTAATCTTTTTGTAATTTGTCAAAATAACTATAACGACCTTTACACCATAATTATAATGTCAAAATTACTATAATTTCTTATTAAATTAAATGTTAAATTTTAACATGATATAAAATTAATTATATATTAAATCACTAAAATATCTTTATCATTGCTTCATAGAAATTTGACATGTAACATTTTATGAAAATTACTATGATACATCTACTAAATTAATTACATAAGACTTAACTACATTTAAATTATTGTAATAAAATAAATATTAAAAAAATATAGTGTCATAAATATTTATTCAACATATTGAAGCTGTGTCCTACATAAATTACTATAAAGCTCCTCTAATTATTTGATTTAGGGTTGATATATGTCCAAAATGACTATAATAATCCTCATCCTATAATTAGTCAAAATTCCTATAATGCTTCCCTATCATAATTATGAAAATGCCCTCACCATTATAATTAATCAAAATTACTATAACACCCATCCAATCATAATTATAGAAATGTCTTTCCATTATGATTGATCAAAATTATTATAATACTTCTCTTATCATAATTACAAAAATGCCTTTTCTACCATAATTGGCTAAAATTATTCTAATGTCCTGATTAAATTATGTATTAAAATTTAACATAATATAAAATTAATTACATATTAAATTAATATCATACTCTTACTATTACTTCACAAAAATTAGACATGTGGCATTTTATTTCAAATTTACTAATATACCCTTATTAAATTATGCATTGAATTTTAACACATCCAAAAAGTTTATTATGTTCCTCCTATCATGATTTAAAAAAATTACTATAACGTCCTCCAACTATAATTATAAAAATGCCTTCTTAACATGATTGGTCAAAATAACTATAATATACTTCCTACCATAATTATAAGAATGTCCTTTTTACTATAATTGGCCAAAATTATTTTAATACCATTATTAAATTATATATTATTTTTATAGTAAAATAATTATAAATCTATCTAAAATAATAAAAAGATATTAAATAATAATATTAATAATAATTTTTGACCAAAAAAAATTTCACCTTGAGTAATAAGTGGCTATTTCTAGTTATTATTTAAAGAACACTTTTGTTATTTGTTATTTCTCTTTTAATTTATTACTCTCGTTATTATTTAAAGACCACTTTTTTATGCTTATAAGGACCATTTTCTTTTTTTTTTTTAATTTTTCTTGATTTTGTTACTTAAAAAATATAATTAAAATTTTTATTTAATTTTGTTAGAATTAAAAAATAAAATTAAATACATGGATGGGTATGCAAAAAATTCTCGATGGGTATGAGTATAGGATGGATATGAATGTCATAATCAAGTATGAAGATAAGGAATGCAATGCTCACCCCAATTGTGATCTATTGCCATTGCGACTTGCCACTAAGCCAAGGGCTCATTGGCAATATAACTTTATTTTTAAAAGAGGTATTATATGTGATGCACTAAATGCTATATACGTTTAATAAATCAGAGCATCTCATAAAATTAACTTTAAATATGTTTTAAAAATTAAGTGTATTTGTTTATTTTATGCTTTTAATATTTTAAAATTATTTTTTTATATAATTTTATTGTGACTGATAATATATAATATATATCATTTATAAACTGATAGTTCATCAAATATAAATTTTGTAATTCATATTTTTTTAAGGTCAAATAATTCACAATTAAATATGAAATTGACATAATCTTTGTTGGTTGATGATATAATCAAATAGATCAGGGATAAATTTTGTTGATAGAAAAGAAGCCTAACACAAGTTTATTATTTTGAAATATGGACAACCGATCCTAAAATTTTCAATTGTACAGGACAAGTAGATCATTCCATTAGTCATTCATTAGTTATTTTGTTAAAAACCTCATTTAAAGATCACTTTACCTTTGAAAAGTCAATATCTTCAAATACTCACACGAAATAATATTTTATGCTAATAAATTATTTTTATTTTTCTCAAAATATATCAAATATAATAATAGTAGAAAAAATATTTTTTAGATGTAACATATAACAATAAAACTTAAAAATTATAAGTATGCTAATATGTAAATATATCTCTAGCAAAATGAATATATTAAGCATGTAATATTATTTTGGCATGTAACAATTTTAAAAAATATATGAAGGATATAATATGAAAAAAGGTTTGATTGGAAAAATGATCACAATAAAATATTTGTTAATTCGATTTTAGTTATTATAATACTCATATATATATATATATGTTAAACTTTAATCTACATGCTTGTAAAAATAGCATTTATATTAGATGCACTATTAGTGTATAAATCCTATACACCAACAGTAAATAAAATAATGATACATAATTAATGCACTACAAGAAATTTTTCATATAATGAGGTTTAGTATACTGATTGTCAAATTGTGTCAATGAAAGAAATTTATACTAATGGATTTTTAATATCATCAGAATATACAATATTTATACCAACACTTTGTATAATTGTCATTATAGATAAACTTTTTTTATAATATATAAGTATGTTATATACCAAAGGTATTATTGTAACCATCAATATAAGCTCCAAACAAAAAAAAATTACCAACCTTTATCTGAGAAAAAAAAAGTTACGGTGTATTGATGGATTTTTTATACCATTAGAATATACAATATCTAGATTTGTATAATTATTGATACAGATAAACTTTTTTTTTAAGGTATATGAATATTCGTCAATATAGGTGTGTTATATATCGATAATTATTATTCTAATAGTCAGTATAAGCTTCAAACAAAAAAATTACCAACCTCTATTTGAGAAAAAAAAGTTATGATATATTTATGGATTTTTAATATCGTTAAAATATACAATAACTATATCAACACTTTGTATAGCTACCGATTTAGATAAACTTTTTCTGACAATATATGAATATTCGTCAGTATAAGTATGTTATATACTAAAGCTTATTATTGTAACCATTAGTATAAGAACCAACTAAAAAAATTATCAACCTCTATTTGGGAAAAGAAAGTTAGGGCTTAAATCTCTATTTCACTTTTCACTCAATTTTTTTCTCTCTACCTCCCACCACCTCTACATCTTCAAATCCTATCAGTACCCCATCTTCAAATCCCATCGGCACCTGATCTTTAAATCCTATTGCTTCTACAAACAACAACTAATCGCAAGAAAGGTACTTTTCATGTTTTGTATTTTTTGCATTTCATTTTTAATATTTTTCATCTATCTAT